TGCGGGCCCATCCTACTTGAATGCAAATTACATACACACTTAAAACAGAAACGCATCAGCCATTTTGAAGAAATTATTGCACTAGTTTAAAGAGCAATCATTTCATGAAATTTCAATGGTAAAGGGTGAAAATCCAAATAGACAAAGAGTTTGCTAACGCAACAACAGCCTTTATTGTCGTGTTTCTGTTTACTTGAGTCCACAAGATGGCGTAAAGTCAGTGGTGGTGGTGGAATTGGGTTTACGTCGTGCTTGAAAATATTTTCGCTCATATGACGACGTGCATGCGTGAGTATGTGTATGTGCGGCTGCTTGTCTTAGCCCAGACTTAAGCTGGTTTTATAGTGCTAGCCCACTGAGATACCATGCCGCAGTGAAGCATGAATACCCCACTCAGTCACATTATACTGACTCCGAGCCGACCAGTCCTTGTTGTACCCATTAATGCCGAGCGCCAGACAGGGACCAACAAGTACCATATTTTAACGTCTTTTGGTATGACGCGGTCGGGGATCGAACCCGCGACCTTCCGCACTCCAGGAGGAAGCGCTCAACCAGTACACCACGGAAGGCAGTCCGTAAAGTCAGTACCTTGTATGACCACCATTGGCAACAATTACTGCTCGGCTCCGTCTCGGCACAGACTGGATAAGTCGACAAGGTCGCTTTACGGAATTTCTCTGCAATGACCAGGCGAGGAAGGGTCTGAGGCGTGTTTTGACGTTGACGTACACGTCGACCGAGTTTCATCCCATAGATGTTCTTTCGGGTTTAGATCTGGTGATGAGGAAGGCCATGGCAAGACATTGACGTTAGAATTGGCAAGGTAGCGGACCGTAACGCGTACTGTATGTGTAGTAGCGTTGTCATGCTGGAACAACTCACCTGTCAGTCCATAATCGGAAGCATGTGACGTGCATGGACTTCGTTGATGTACCGATTTGCTGTCATATTACCCTGAACCACCACAAAATCAGATTTTGTGTGCTGGAAATCTTACCCCTCACCATGAAACTGCGTCCGCAAACTCTATCGACCTGTCGAATGCAATTAGGGGCAAAACTTTCATTAAATTTCTCTCCGGTAAACACGCTGTCTTCCATCTCGCCGGTGACGAAGAAATCGTGATTCATCACTGAACCAGACTCTAGTCCAGTTTCAAAGGTTCCAGTTCCGGACTTTACGACACCCACAAGCGATTGCGCCGATGGAAGTCTCTCAGAACAGGGGCGACAACTGACCTGCTTGGTGGAATCTCCACTTCACGCAATCGATTCCTGACAGTTTGTTTGGAATTCTTCTCAAACCAGGGATGTGTTGTGCAGTATCCACGGCTGTGGCAAGACGATGACGCAAGTGAGCAACCCTGATGTAGCGGCGTGACTCTTGGACGGCCGCTTCTCGAGCGATCTTGGACGGAATTGGTCTGCAGGAATCGATCCCGAAGGCAAGATATGGTGTTCTGATGAACGCTGAAATATCGGGCAACTGCAGACTCACCAGCTTCGAGGCGACACTCAGTCGTGGCATGATGATTTCCTCTTTTCCTGGCAAAAGCGAATGACAAAAGTCAACACAACGTTTGCTTTTTCAAAGTGAGCGATACTGCATGCTATTCCACTTACTTACACGTGCATTTTGCTTTGCATGTCTTCTTGGTGACTTTTTGGTGAATATTTCTTCAAACGCTTCTAAAACAAGGGGAAAATTAGAATTGCCGCATTTGGGCGCTGAAGTTGTTTACAATCGCACAAAGATGACGGTTTGGAAAGAAATGGTATATTTGTGTTGTAATTGCAGCAGATACATGAGTCCAATATTCTCAAAACCACATATGCGTTTCTTTCTTCTTTTTTTTTTGAAGTGTGTATTATGACACAAATCACATATGCACAGTTCCTTTTAGTGTTCGGTACATATTCAGCTCTACTGTTACTGATGACAGTGCATAATGAATTATTACTGTCATCAGTAAATCAACTGAACCTGCCTTGAAAACATAAAAAGTACTGTAGAAAAATATACGTACATGTGTACTAACGTTGAGTGATAGGATAAATCATTCACCTTCCCAGAATTTTCCGTGATAAAAGGCAAATGCATGATGATTTTTTATAGGCTAACCCCTTTCTCTTCTGTTCCCAAGGCAGACCTCCGTTTCAGTCTTCCAGTTATCGGAATTTCATCCCGTATTTGACTCAAATATATGTACGTGTGTCTTTTTTTAAGCAAATTTGCCCTTGATACACCTGTCGGGACTCGCTTTGGTTTCGTCAGAACCCAATCTCAAAGACATCATCACACAGCCAGACCTCTTGTTGTCGGACAAGCACTGCCCCAGCTGATAACACACTGCATTTTGCATTTGCTTCCGATTGTAAATATTTGATCCCGGTCCGGAGAAACTAGTGACGGATAGAATATGAGCAACGTCATACAACATATGACATCAAAATAAGCATATACTAGTATACCATGCAGCCATCTGGGGAATCAATCCAGTGATTTCGGCGATTTAGACAAACACTATGACCACAGGCCTACCCCACCGGCCCACATAATACATGCGTGCTTCCACATTTAACCACACAAGTGCATTTGTTACACACAAAAATGCCTGGATAAGGTGATATGTTTGCCTTAGCTTGCTTTGAGTGCAAAAGCACTTTCTCTGGTAAAGATTATACTTTGATCGTTTGCATTCTTGTACATATGATTGATGCAGTACTTGACATTAGGGAAATGTCAAGTCTTAAGTCTTCTGATAGATAGCTGGTTAGTTAGTGAAATATATATCTGAAATGTCGAGTCTTCGGCTCTCTGTTAGTTGGCTGTTCCTTTGTAACATCGGTTTGGCACATCTAGTCAGACCATTACCAGAACATTTCCATACATTTACAAGTAAATGTCATATGTTTATGCTATCGATATTTGATATAGTTTGAAAGGAGTATCGAAGATTGTGATGATATTTTTTCAGTCGCGTGCGCCACTATGTTATTGTTTTCTATCTTGGGGCACATGAATATGTAAATAAAGGGTTTCTGATTTCTTTGATTGAAACGTGGAAGTTTGTTTGGTAAATTGCTATTGGTATCGATCAGAAAGATTATGTATTTGTTGTAGCTTAAATTGCACGGTAAATATTTATGGCATTCCTTTTTTCGTGTTACATCTGCTGTCTGTCAATAGCTAATTACTGTTAGCATAGCTAAGACTTTCAACAAAAGATTTCAGGAAAATTATAACACCAGGTAAAAAGCCATTATCGCTTAAGATTGCACTCCAAATGCGGATAAGGTCTTGAGGTACACAGATAAATAAACAGTAAATTTAGTATTGTTCTCGGCTTTCACTGAAACTTGATGTTTACATATTGGTGCGTTTGGATTCCCAAGATGAAACTAAAAAGTTAACTTGAAATCAGTCCGTAAGAAAACTAGGGTTGAAACCACTAAACAACAAAGCAATGTGATTTAATTAACAATTGTATTTTATAATAACGAAGCTTACACATCAATACAAAGGTATCACTATGGCAGTACAAATGCAGAGGTAGTATAATGCAAGAGTATTGATTACAGCAGAAGAGTGGCGGTAATATTCATCTCTTAGCAACAATAATCCACGAAAGACCTAATCAGATAATCCATTGTATAACGGTCACCACACACAATGTTGGTCTTCTTGTAACTGGAGATGGAATGTTAGATGAGAGGCAAGATTTAACTCCCCTTAAATACCTAAGATGAAGGTGGTAGAATATTCTCCAAATCCCTGGGACAAACACAGATACACTTGAGTAGAACTATTTCATTGTCATAATCACAGAACATTTTGGAGCCTTATCCATTTTCTCTCAAACAAACATTTTGAAATTGTTTCTGGCAATATATTTCTCAATGTCAAATACATCTTTTAATAACCCTTTATATGTGGTGAAACTTGGTTTCACAGCCTTGATATTCCTGACAAAAATGTGGCGCTTGGCTAGTATGATCATATGGTTGAGCAAGGGGTCGTTATTGGCACAAAATAGTATATCTTGAGCTGAGAGTACGAATGTTCTGTGCAGGACACAATTAACAAAACCGGTGAATTCTTTCCAGAATAATCTAATGGTGGGACTTTCAATATATACATGATAAATATTCTCACTTACGTCACATGATATACAAATGTCATTATCAACTAGTTTCATTTTAATGTATAAATAACTCTATGAATAAATTTGTATTGAAAATCCAAAAGCTTTCGGTCTTTAATGGTTAGTCTATATTGCAAATGAGAGTACCTCTTAGTCATTGAAAATGTCTTTAATATTAACAATTCCTTGTTTGAACCAGTTATTGATTATCAAATATGTGTTGCGAAACTGGTGATTTAACCAGAGAGGTTGCATAACAATTTCGTTTATGTTGATATGATTCACTACATATACCTTTATATATCTATGCCAGGCATCAAGTGCATCTTTATCTGACATACTTCCCGCTATCTTATTTTCGAATCCTAAGAATGATTCAACTTACCCGCTTTTCTACATATCGCCATATCGCCGTAATGTGGCTGTATCGCCATATCGCAATGTTGCTGTATCGCCATATCGCTTCGCCATATCGCAATATCGCCTTTTCGCGTTATCGCCATATCGCAATGTCGCGTCTTTTTATCGCCATTTTGTGTCGTGTTATCGCCATTTCGTGTCGTATTATCGCCATTTCGTGTCGTGTTATCGCAATGTCGTGTCGAGTTGTTGCCATTTTGTGTTGCGTTATCGCTATATCGTGTCTTGTTATCGTCATGTTGTGTCGTGATATCGCTATTTCGTTTTGGCTATATCGCAATATCGCTATATCGTGTCGCCATATCGCAATATCGTGTCGTACTATCGCTTTGTCGCGATATCGCCTAGATTTCTTCAGGGATATAAAGCGATGGCCCGAATGAGCCACCATAATAATCCATGCACACAGACCTAATATAACGTGATTACATATGGTTTTTGTAGGGTCATCCATGTGCCAGTCAGCCATGCAGTACCAATCACATGTGCATTCCCGTCAACACAGCTAAAGACCATGTATGTGTACGTGTTGGTGCGTTCATGCCCACTACTGAAGCAGGGATGACAAATTTTGCAATAACAACAGCGACTGTGGCAACAACATCTGCTCAAGCAGCCTCTGCAACGACATCTTCCGCATACCCCACTTCACTTGAAGCGACTACTACTGTCACTGGTACTACTTCTACTACTACTACTACTACTACTACTACTACTACTGCTGCTACTACTACTACTACTACTACTGCTGCTGCTGCTGCTGCTGCTACTACTACTACTACTACTACACTGAAAGATACAGCCGAACCGGAACTGACAAGCCCTATAACAACAACTCCTATTTCAACTTCAACAACTTCAGTGGGGACTTCAACATCTCCTGAACCGACTACATCAACTTCTCCAGCACCATCAACTACGACAACGGCGATCACGACACTTGAGCCCTGTATGTATGCGTCAGCATCAACGTTAAGTACAATGGTAAAGGCAGTGCATTGATTCAAATCTAACTGACCAAATAACAAAATTCACTTTCATGTCTTCAACACATTAATTATGTGACCCGTGAAGATCCGGGGTAGAATAGGTCTTCAGCAACCCATGCTTGCCACAAAAGGCGACTATGCTTGTCGAAAGAAGGCGACTAACGGGATCGGGTGTCCAGGCTCGCTGACTTTGTTGACACATGTCATCGGTTCCCAATTGCGCAGATCGATGCTCATATTGTTGATCACTGGATTGTCTGGTCCAGACTCGATTATTTACAGACCCTCGCCATATAGTTGGAATATTGCCCGGTGCGGCGTAAAACTAAACTCACTCATTTATTGTTTTCATTGGTCACTTATAAAGTACAATTCTATGCCAAACACATTTGATTCCTTATAACATTTTGCATGCTGACACTAATGTAAAATAATCAGAGACTGAAACATACGCTATTAATGTGAAAATTGAATCACTAATTTCAGTTCTCAATGTTTAAATTCAATTTTTGTAATACATTCTGTGTGTTTTGCAGATAACTGCACATGTGTAACGGACATTGACTGTGCTGAGCCTCCTGGAAGGATTTGCTCCGGTGGTGTCTGCATATGTTCTATTGGGTACGACATGGACGAGACCAGAATTGTCTGCAGAAAGCTGACAGGTAAACTCACTCACAATAACATCACCCAATCTACGATGATCGCATGGAAGTCTTAATGACATTTATTTTTTTCAAACAATTAACAACGTCAATATGCATTTACTGGTTTATGATTCTGTGTAATTTCGAAAGACCTAGAATGAGTTCTGTCACAAGTTTTTGTTTATCATGTCATCAAACGACAATGGCGTGGACCGCTGTTCATAATGTTCCACAACAAACACTCTTGTATTATAATACAACCTGCTCATTTCGTTTCAGATCCAGGTAAGGTCTAAATATTTATAGCATGACTACTTCTCAGACAGATATTTTGAACTTTGTTACAGAATGCACATCATATGGATCTGACTTCACCCTCCACGTGCACAGGGCGATCACTGGGCACAACTTTGAGAACTTTCGTTCAAAGACATCTGTGGAATGCGCCTGGTTGTGCTTGCATGCAGGCACCAAGTGCAAATCTTTTGAAATAATGAATCATGTCTGCTACTTGCAGCCAACCACGTGGTTTGAAGTCGACGTCGATGATCAAAGGGTCGATAGAAATGTAGATCATTACCAACGTAGATGTAAATGGTGACACATACATTCCTACCAGAGTTGGAATAAAAGGTCTATAATATAAACGCTTTTCTAATTCTTTTCTAATTCGAAAGACTATCCAAAAATACTATCTAATATGGATTACGTTAGATTCCTTTGAGCCAATAATGTGTATATATTCTGGCATAATCTTCATGCCATATGAATAAATTGGTCCCTACTATTAGCAAAGATTGCTTGAGACACATGCAAAGGCAAAGTGATTGTTGACCTGAAAACAACCAAACTTATATCTGGAATTGTATGAAGCATAACGTTTGTTTTTGCCTCAAATGTCCTCGACATGTCAACTATAAACCTCTTGGTCAATGGAACGGACTGTTTTTAGCCTCATCAAACAACTTCATATGACGCACCTTGCGATGTTAGTAGACAGAGTCGGCTCGATCACTTCAAAATGTGTGAAATTTATACCTAAGGTTGACTGTTTTAACGTAGTAAAGTGAAGGTATTCCTGTTGTCATAGAGTCTTGATATTTCTTTCACTCAGAATAGGCAAAAAACAGATGAAATGGTTGTACATGTGTCTTGTTTGCTCCCCGATGCACCAAGCGAACCATTAATATTTTTGAAAGGAAAATACGTATACATATTCGTCTGAAGGTTCTAAATGGGATTGTGCACATAAACGTGAAAGTAATATGTTGAACACAATATCAGAAATTGAATTCTCTGAAACAGAAAGCTAAGTGCAGATACCAATTTACAGACTGTTTCAAAAACCATTTCGAAGATTGGTCTCCCTATCACTCGATCCCTCTAACGACAAGTACGGGTTACTGACGATAAATTATTCCCGGATCTTCAAGGGTAAATTAAACATTAATACCTGTGTTTTGGACAATAAATATGTTGCTCATATGAATTGGTTCTTGGTTCTTTGTTGTTGACCGCTGCACTCAGCGATATGCCAAGTATACAATGTCACATGGTAACTTATAATAAACAGATACTTTGATATTTTCCCTGGTCAGTCACCCTAGAAATGCTTGTGCAAGGCATGGAGTCAACATAAACTGCAATTCCGTTTGTGTGCGGTGTGCAGGGCCAATCAAATTTGTAAACATGAACACATGTCATATACAACAGCTCATAGATAACAAACAGCAGTGTTGCAGAAAGTGCGCAGTGTATCTTCAATAGACCTGAGAAAGAAATGGCGAGGAATCGCTACTGAAGAAAACTGTGACTCAGTCTCTTTTGCACAATTAAATCGATGAATGTCAATCTTCAATAACACAAGTGTAGAATAGAAATGTAATTCAAGAAATGAATACGGGTTTCTGTTTCAATGACGTGTTTGCCGTCTACATGTACACGATAAAACTGAGGTTTTAGAACGATGCGCATCGGCAATCACCATACTGTAAAATTCCTTGTTAATATTCTTACAACAAGAAAACCCTCAAGTTGAATCTTCGAAGAATATTAGCAATAGCCTCTCCCGTCGCTTCATAGGATAATCGAGACTGGGTATTTTCTGGCATTGACGTCGCGTACATTGGTTCACTATCACTTAGCCCGAGTCTACAATAAAGGTATTGTTAAAGGTCACATGCAACCAAAAAATCAAACATAATTAAAACACAATTATCACTTATTCATGACATATAATATATATTGCTGGTTATGAAAAAACATATAAACAAAATTATAAGCGTACAATCGCAAATCAAAAGTGCAATATTTTGTACTTCGGTTTACTTCCCAAGAAACGGAGCAGCCGGGATACCGAACCCAGTCAGAGCGGATGGATGTGCACTCAAGTGTAACGGCTGGTTCATTTGCAGATGCCGCCTTCACGGCTCATTGTGTGTGTATATATATAATGGTGTTGGGTTTTGTAAATACATGCTCATTTTTTGTGTATCACCAGGGAGACTATATAAGGGGGAGTGGTCACTCCTCGGAAAGCCCCTTAGCGTGTGCCTCGGCTCGTCACGTGACCAGTGTAGCCAATATGGCGGCAGCGTAGTTTTTAAGATTGAGCCCGGTTTATTTTCAACAGCTGATTACATATGCTGAGTGTTGTGACAACTGAAAACCTACATGTAGAAGATAAGTTACCTATTCTGTCACTTCATTTTAAGTCAAATAATTGTTATTAGTGTCAGTATTAGTACAGTAGATTTGAAGAAAAGTCTCAAGTCGGCATGTTGTAGCCCACTGGCTTCAATTCTCAGTACACAGCGAAGAAATACTAAATTCTATCGCTAAAAACATCTTTCACATATACGTTTAATTTTCAGAAGGGAAATATACCTTTAGTTGAAAGGTGTTTGCAAGTAATAGTGATAGTTCTATCACTGAAAAACATTGTTAGGGTGTTTTTGAGGTGTGTGCAAAATATGACAAATCGCCGATCTGCCATTGAAATACTACAGGGCGTTGTTTGAGTGTTTCTAGTTATTGTTCTAAAACATCTTTCACATACACCTTTAATTTTTATGAGGGGAATATACCATCAGGTGAAAGGTGTTTGCAAGTAATAGTGATAGTATTATAACTAAAAAAATTGTTAGGGTGTATTTGAGGTGTGTGAAAAATATGACATATCGCCGATCTGTTCTGATACGCCATTGATGCTTGTGATGCTTGAGTGTTATAGTTCTAAAACTTCTTTCTTTCTTGTTGATCTTAGTATATGACAAAACTGGAAAGGTGTTTACAACGCTTTGTGAAAGTTCTAAACTTTCTGTTTTTGAGGGGTCTGTGACAGTGTCAGATAACATTCTGTCAATGCCCATGCCATTCCACACATGCAATAAGATATCTGAATTAGTTACTTATGTAAAAAAATGTCTCAAAGTAGATTTTTTTAAAAAGGACAGCTGATGTTAACACATGTTTTCTACCGATAGTTTTGCGTTCTTTAACATGTTTTGGGAGGGATGGCCGTGGTGTATCATTTATTCTTTCATTCATTCACATATGTATTTCTTTCTCTTGTTCTTTTTCTTTATTTCTTTCATTCATTCACATATAATTCTTGCTCTTAATTCATTCATTTATTCATTCATCGTAAAATTCCGACTGATACAAAACACTGGCTGAAGGACTGTTAAACGCAGCCGAAGTAGCGCTGGGAACGAACCAAGTCACTGTGTGCGTTGGAGCATGACGAGGCACACGTTAATTAGTACAAATGGTAAAGAAAGCAAGCGAGTGACCTATCCCTGTTGTAGAGTATCCCTGGTATAACATTTTGCAATCAACAGACATCATAACATGTGGTTTATACCCGGACTGTCGACAACAACAAATAATCCGTCCAAATTACTTGTCGACAGTCCGGGGAAAGGGAGATGATGTTCTACATGAGTGACTTCACGCCCAGTGTTCTCGGAATTAACAAACCAATTGAAACAGAGATATACATGTATATATAGAAGATGTATGTATCATATGTCACACAATATAACATATTTGTATATATATTTCAGAAATCTCACACAATATATATTTGTGTGTGTGTGTATTATAGAAATAAGTGATTTCTGCATGTGTATAAGCAATAAATATACTCATGCCAATAATGGTTGTCACCCCCCTCCCCACCCCAACCCCACACACACCTCAGACTCCACCCCACACCCCCTCTCCAATTAAAAAAATTGAAGGGGGTGACAACCATTATTGGCATGAGTATATATGAAAGATGAGTCCAGATATTTCTTCTTGCCAAAACTCCTTTATATCTGCACTAAAGTAATCTGTAATGTTCAGCCAAGATGAAGCATCTCTGACACATGGTCTGTGTAATTCAAGTCAGTAAGTCTGTTGGCAAGAAGGACCGAATCCTAACGTCGATGATTCGGTAGCGACGTCTACGGACGAGACCTCTGCTGTCCTCGGATCTGCTGAAGTTAACTTCAGTAGCTGGCTGTTCTTTTTGCAGCATTCGCACAACCTCAAACACATTCGGATGTGTCTTTATGGCATACTTGTTGAATTTGTTGCGCCAACCTTCCAAATTATTGCTAGTTCTGTGTCCATCATTTTCAAAATAATTCCAGTTTGGCAGAGTCCATGGACCTTCTACCCAGGTGGTAGTAACGGAATCCAAATGTATCCAAATAAATGTTTTTAACAGCATTCCAATAACCCTTCTACTCCCAATATCACAAAATAATATGTAAGCTCTCTGTTTCTTTCCGGTATTTTTTTTGCATGTTAAACTCCAAAATGGTAATCCTTCCAATCACATAACGTATTTTAAAAATAATAGTTTGTTTGCAACCTTAATTCTCTTACAAATTGTTAAAAAGACATTCTCTATAATTAACGTAATTCATTTACTCATGAACGAACATGGTCACTTGCAAATCACTAAGCAAACATTCTCTTTCACTAATTAACACCGTCACGGTATGTTGACCACGCGATGTCGACACTCCGGGTTTTTTGTTCTGTCGACGATTAGCAACATCCTATTTTTCATTTGTCGACAGATCGGGCTGACACCTAACATGTCATGTGTACAAGTATCATACCTGCCTGTCTGTGTAATTACATAATGTGACAGAGACCGAATTGGGGCCATAAATCAATGCGTTTTGTTTATGGTGTATAGCCTGATAGGTGTTAAGTTCAAATTGCATGTGGTCAGTGATCGAAGTTGTGTATTGAATATTGTCATTAGCAGACGGGCAGGCAGATACATAGGTGTCAATAAAACAGACATTGAGTTTTGTCTGTGACAACGACATATCTATATTACAGTTAGAAATTCTGTCAACGCTAAATAATGACATTGCTTTTAAGTATCGAACTGAGAAAGTGACTGGGTAAGAAGAACGTGTGGTGAAATAGATAAATGAAATTATATAAACAGTTAAATCGGTAATCTACTGTAATAACATATAAAAAGCTCGCGCCTGTGAAATATCAACAAAACATTAGAAAAATAGCTCACACCAAAGCCTTCACAGAGTATTCACCGGACAACCCGCTTCCAAGCTGCGCGAACCTATTTCACTGGGCATGTGCTAGAAGCGCAGCCCAGCTGTTGAAACCACTTCAATTCCCCCAAGCGCTGGGGGAAAATTAGTGAATCGTTTGAACTACGATTTCGCGCGGTTTTTTTCATCACGTTATTTTTCAACTTCATAAGTTGAATTTGCATTTTTGATGATTTGTTTCGGTATCCCGGCTGCTCCGTTTCTTGGAAAGTAAACCGAAGTACAAAATATTGCACTTTTGATTTGCGATTGTTTTTGTTTATATGTTTTTTCATAACCAGCAATATATATTATATGTCATGAATAAGTGATAATTGTGTTTTAATTATGTTTGATTTTTTGGTTGCATGTGACCTTTAACAATACCTTTATTGTAGACTCGGGCTAAGTGATAGTGAACCAATGTACGCGACGTCAATGCCAGAAAATACCCAGTCTCGATTATCCTATGAAGCGACGGGAGAGGCTATTGCTAATATTCTTCGAAGATTCAACTTGAGGGTTTTCTTGTTGTAAGAATATTAACAAGGAATTTTACAGTATGGTGATTGCCGATGCGCATCGTTCTAAAACCTCAGTTTTATCGTGTACATGTAGACGGCAAACACGTCATTGAAACAGAAACCCGTATTCATTTCTTGAATTACATTTCTATTCTACACTTGTGTTATTGAAGATTGACATTCATCGATTTAATTGTGCAAAAGAGACTGAGTCACAGTTTTCTTCAGTAGCGATTCCTCGCCATTTCTTTCTCAGGTCTATTGAAGATACACTGCGCACTTTCTGCAACACTGCTGTTTGTTATCTATGAGCTGTTGTATATGACATGTGTTTACAAAT